TTCTAGTATTCACTCAGCCTGAATCACATCTGCGAGGCTGAACTCAATCTACAGTCCCCCCCCCTCCCTTCCTTCTCATCCATCTGGCCAATTCTATCCTCAGTTATCCTTTTCTTTATCGCAATCACCACTGAAACAACACTCATCCATCTCTGCGTCTCTCTGCCCTCACACCCTGTGGCGAGAAACCTTCCATTTATCTTGTGTCCCCTTGTTTTGCCATCACTTCTGCTCTCCGTAATCCTCCAATCTTTCCTTCTCTCCATCCATCTATGTACCCACGGAGGCGCTCCCCTCCTCCCCCATGCCTCTCTCTTCACTCTCTCTGTGCTGACAGTGCTGCAGGCTACCACCAATTATCCCAGCTAAAGTTGTGCCTGCGTCTATACATCTCACACAAGCACATACAATATCTTTAGATGTCACCCAACACAAAATCATAAATCTCCGTAACGAGACAGGACCACCACGTGCTTTACATGTGAATATATTCACTTTCCGTCTACGTGACTCTTAACCGTGAACAAATGATACGGAAACAGGTCATTTATTTCCTATAATGTCATGTAAATAAACAAAAAACTCAAGTTAAGACAAAATACCTAGCAGAACAAAGCAATGAATAACAACCCAAATCCAACAATGCATTTCTGTACAGTTGTTGGAAAATGTATGTTTAGCCTTTTTCCAATATTTCCCCAACGTGACAACATAGTGAGTTTATGGGAGAAGGGAAGGAGGCTAATAAGACAGAATTGTATTGTTGACGGAGAACAATTGAGGGATATTTCAGAGACTTAAAGAGGAGAAGAATGAGGCCAGAAGTGTATAAACGACAGGAGAGTGCTGATGTAGGTGGCAGTAATAAAGAGGAATAGAAAGAAATAAAGAAGGAGGGAGAGACAATGAATGATAGGCAGTCACTTAAAGACAAAATGAGCAAAGGAAAAGGAGGGGATAGACTGAAAAAAAAAGAGAAAGCAAATGAGACAAAGAACAGGAGATGTACAAATGACGGGAAGAAAAAAGACAAAGAGGGGGGGAAATAGCTGTCCGTAACGAGTTTTGTCCTACATTCACACTGGCTGCGTTAAATCATGCTCTACTAGGCGGCACAAGCAGCCAATCCAGCCAGGATATAGACGTATTCTCTCACATTGTAATGTAGTATGACCTGCAACTCACTGTTACAAAATCTACATGCTTAAAAACCCACAACAAAACAGGCAATCAAATAACGTGGCTATTAACAATGGAGTCTTTTTCAAAAGAGCTCTACCCTTTAGAACATCCCACTGACATTCACAGAGAGGGTAAAGTTGACATAATAGAGTGGAAATTAAAAACCTGGTACATGTTCTCACATCCATATTGCTGGATAGTTAGTACCAGAACATCAGACAGCCAAACACATATAAAAAGCCTCAATACTAGAACTGCTTGGGTATGTATTCCAGGCACGTTTGAAATGTCTCACAAAGAGAATTCAACACTTAATTCCACCGTTGCTGATTGAAATGAACATGAAAAAGTGTTTTCCAAAGCAGCGAGCACGTTTGGTTACAAAGCTGAAGAAAGAGAGGAAGTCCTGCCATGTTTCTCTCTGTAGACACTTCAAAGATCAGTTTCATCTGCATGCAAAATTGGAAAAAAAGAAAAATCTTCATTAATTGCTGGGAGTGTGTTCTACTGAGCTTGTTGACTTCCTTTTAGAGGACCATTATACACAAAACTCAATCAATCTGTGAGCACTGGAGATGTTTTTTTTATTCTAAAACGTTTAACCATTGGATGGAAAATTAGCATATCACACAACTTCATCTTCACCGTATGCACAACAGTGTGAAATCATTTAAATGGAAATCAGTTAAAGCACCTCTAACTTTGTTCTGTTGCTACCGGACGGGGAAAACAGTGCTGTTACCTTCTTGAAATACATGCAGGCAGATTTGATCAGTGTCAACAAAATAGCGGTCTCACAGCCCGTGAACAGGAGTACAAAGGGAATGCCACTTTTGTCCCTCTCTTTTATGCTTGGTTGGTCTACACCAGAAAATACTTTGCTGCCTTTTTTTCATGTCTCTTCAAACAAAAAAACAGTTGTAATCTTCGCTGCCGTCTATAGGCCTACAAGAAGCTCTTCTCTCTTTTTTTGTCCATAGATAAGTGGAAACAGATTTCACACAAACTACAAAACCTTGTGAATTCCAATTATTAAGCGTCTTCCCACTTAAAAACAAGGGAAACATGGTTTCTTCCATGATCTTTGACACATATTTGCACAGTTTGCAGATGATAATGTTGATACATCACATTTTCGTCCAAAAAATATACACTTACTCAAAATACTGTCAATATCCTTGTTAAAATAAATTCATCTTCATTTAATTGCTTGATTTCATAGTGTGTAGAGTTTCTTAAAACACATACTATTTCTTAAACTGCACCTCAGTCTACACAGACAGTGCACACGCTGCTGACATGCTGCTGATGCAATGCAGCTGATGTACGGTAAATAATGTATGAATGTTGGCACCATCAAAGTATGTTCCCTTTACTTCAAAGAATCATACTCTTAAGAACAACCGAGACTAAAAGTCTACAGCCAGCTCTGTGATGCTGTACTTATAGATATTAGATCAAGCTAATGTCAACTTGACAATATTACCATGCTAAAGTATGAAAGGCATAATGTTAAACACGGCCATTGTGATTCATCCTCTAAGAGAAAGAGAAACTGCAGTCCACATTTTTTATTTTAGCATTAGCCTTATTGATATTATGCTAATAGCTAACCTGTTATTGGAGAATTACTGGCAACAAAGTCAGCGACATATGTTAACCATGAGTAGTCATGATGTTGTTTAAATTATTATGGAGAAGTTTAACGTGATGACGAAGGGAAGACACGTTGTGAAGAATCAAAAACAAAGGGTGATCCTTTTTGTTTTTTTTAAAGGGGTCAGGTTCTTTCCGTCAGGACTAGAAAGCAAACCTGGAGCTTTCAAACTAAAATAGCAACAATAGTATTTTTGAATGTTTCCGTCTAAGTAAGGAAACACCAAAAATAATATGGCTTCTAGGCATAAATGTAGGAAAAGTTTTCCATTTTAAAACCAAATCATATTATTGGGGAAGAAGTTGAAATCATATGTCCATTAATGTAGTAAGACAAGTCCAATACAGCAAAAAGTCACAAGATTGCATTATTTTGTAATCAATCCACAGTACCTGTTGTGTTATAAGTAATTCTGAAGTTTACGCTTTTTTATTCTTGGGTATTTACATAATAAGTATATTATTCATCCAGTGGTGCAATACCATGCAGTCTATGTGCAACACACAACACAGGTCGCTTTCCGAAACTGCACAAATATAGTCATCATTTCTAAATACTCAAGACCAAAACCTGTTGCCATGCAGCGCTGATATACCCAGTACAGAATGAGCTCTTGAGTATGACTGCTGAACACCAGAGTTATATTTTAGCCCTGTCAGCTTCAGATATGTGACAGTCTATGTGACTGTACTGTCGGTGGCAGCATGACTCCGGGCAGGCCACTGGCAGCTACTGCTAATGATCTCCCCACAGAGACTCCATTTCTGACTAAGTTAAGCTCGAGATAGTGCGCACTTTGTTACACAGCTTCTATGTTTTACCATGTGATTACAAGTTACTGAGCTAATAAGGGGGGTGCTGTTTTAAAAAAGGCGATGATTTAATTCTGCAGGCATTGTATGACAAAGTCTATGGAAAACCACTTCTGCCATGCACGTCACCAACCAGCCTCCTCTCAGAGTCAAGTATCCAATGCATGCAATCATACAGGCTTTGTGGCACAGGAATGACATGGCAATATTTAGTGTATTAAAGAGGCCCAATTATGCTTTTGGGGTTTTCCCTTTTCTTGTGCGTTTAAAGAAAATGGCCTGCAAAGGCTAATACTACCCCCTGCCTGAAATGCCTTGACTGGACACCTTGGTTTACTTCTGCAACATGGTGACACCGCTCCTATGTTCTAGCGGGCCAACACATTGTACATGATAGGGTAAGGGGCGGGACATCTCTAAGCGGTTGACCAATCGTAACAGAGCCGGCCAGCTAACCAATCAGAGTAGACTGGGCTCTGGTTTCGGACTGAGGGGGAAAAGAGGTGATGCACTTTTTGAACATTAAAGCATGGGAGGTCACAAAGTATACCAAGTGTGTCACGGGAATGGCTAGCTCACAGTCCGTTACTTTGATTTTCTAACTAGGGAGTGGTTTTTGTTTATCGTTTGACAACTTCTCAAGTACTTCCTCTCTAATAGAAAACGAAAAAGTTAAAACGTGCAGATACTCAACCATACACGTGATAACAAGACTTAAGATATTTATATGGAGGTAATAATGTTTTTGTATAATACAAAGCGCGAAGACATGAGTTTCGGGTATACAATCAAATCGAGTTTTGCACACGGGAGTTCATAATTTCCCGGGATAAATACGAGTATAAGTCCAAGTATAAAACATAAAACACCGATCATGACA